CCCGAAACGACTTGGGGGCAGAATTCCACAGAAGCAGTGCTGTAAGGGGATAGTTGGGGGCTGTCACATTTTGATGACAAAGTGCCAGGCGGTGTCCTGGGAGTTTTATACAGATTATCCTACTGAATCCTTGCAGCAAGCGTGCAAGGGGTATGTAATTACCATTTTAGGTAAGAAAAATAAAACCTAGGGGTCAAAGGACTTGTCTCAGCCTGCAGAATCAGCTTACTGGCATACCCTGGACCCAAATCCCTGCCTTCAGGATCTGAGTTCTTTCTGTTTCAGTTTGTTTGTTTGCGGTAACAATTACTGGGTTTGCTGTTTTTTGTTTTTGTTTTTCCTGAATATAAAAGTACATACCAAGTAAGGGTGCAAACCAGAACGTAAGAACTGGTCACCTATCTGACCCCAGCGTCCACCATCTTGCCATTTCACTAGGCGACCACCTCCTCATTCACAATATTTCCCCCTTTCCTGACTCACCACTGAAAACACACCCACTAGACAGGCTCCAGGGGAGAAACAGCGGCGTAGACGAAGCCAGAAACTGTGGGGAATTTGCACTCTGCGTTGGCATGCTTCCCTTTGCATTTCTGGAGTGATCCGTGCCTCCCAGACTTGAGTCTACACGAAAGAGGCTCACTATCTGCAGTGAGGAACAGCCTGGTTACTGAGTGCTCAAGGCCGCCCCGCCTAAGATGATAACACAAGGCAAAGGAAGTGGCCTTGGATGGAGAGGGGGCTCAGGGGGCACACACAAGGGAGCTTCAGAGACTCTGAGTTGGGTCAGAGGGATGCCAAGTCAAGGCTGCCCAGAGGGAGGACGTCCAGAGAGGCTACTATTTCAAGCTAGGACAGCAGCAAGAATGATATCTGCAAAGTCCCGGATGTTCAGTCTGCCCCATGATTTCACAGCTGCCATCTCTTTTCATGCCCTCACAACTCCATGGAGTCAGCAAGGCAGATTTTACGTCACTTTCACAGAGGGGCAGAATCCAGATGACGCTTGGAGACGTCAAGTGACTTGCCTACGAGCCAGGCAGTGCAGGGCCAAGCTTCCCGATTTCTAGCCCAGGGTTTGTCTCCCACAGCCTGCTTTCTCCCCAAAGCATAAAACCGCCATCACCAGGAAAGACAATTAAATGGGAAAGAAAAGAAGGCACATGTGGGTTGTCATTGTTTTTTTCTCTGTGCTTTGGACGAGTGGGTTCCCCTCTCTTCAATGAAACCTTTAAAACATATTTATGGTTATTTCACAAGGGTACAGTGTGACTGCTAAAAATAAATCCCAGCTATCCAAATGTTTTCCCTGTCTAGAATTACCTGTGTCTACATGGCTGGGCTTATACTGGTTAGTGGATGGCACCTTCCTCTCATACAAGACTCTGGATCTACTCCATAATTTCTCATGAGCACAGACTGAGAAGGAGAGAACCAGTAAATGTGCGTAGAGAAATATGGATGTTGTAAGACTCCACAAGTATCTTTACAGATATCAAACAGAACACCCGGTCTCAAAAGTCTGAAGGAGGAAATGCACAAGAAAAATATAAGTATTGATGTGGATTAGTAAAATCCAGATTTATCTTTACACAAATTGAAAGACTTTACAGAATCAGAAAAATCAAAAACACTGATAAAACTATGGGTGGGATGGGGAGGGGTGAAAACTACAGATTTGGGGTCCTTTTACCTTTTTTCTCAGTAAAGCGTAATATTTGAGGTTTGCTACTTTGATGCACAAATTTTTAAGAAAGGAATTCAGAAATTCTGCCTGAAGCGAACTGTCAATATTTTAGGAAGGAACAGGAAGAAAAGAAAGTCATGATTAATAATGAACCCATTTTAAGTGGCTTATTTTTTTTTAACTTTTTTTTTTTTTTAAGTTTATTTATCTTGAGAGAGAGAGAGAAAGAGAAAAGGAGAGAGAATTCCAAGCAGGCCCCACACTGTCAATGCAGAGCCCGATGTAGGGCTCGAACTCACTAACCATGAGATCATAACGTGAGCTGAAATCAAGGGTCAGATGCTTAGCCGACTGAGCTACCCAGGCACCCTTAAGTGGATTATATTTTAATGAACAAGCAAATATCAAAAGCAGAAGCAGATTGCTGAGCCCTATCAATTGATTAAGATTCCCACAATGAACGTGTTTTAGTCACCTATAGCAGCTATAAGACATTTTTAAATATTCACAATTAGCAAAATGATTACCTTATTAGCTGTCAATATTAAGAGAGGAAAAGTTAATCTTGTCCTCTGAGAGAAGACAGAAGTTATTTTCTTTGCCTGCCTTCCTTCCTTCCTTCCCTCCTTCCTTCTTTTTTCTTTCTCTCTTTCTTTCTCCTCTCTCTCTCTCTCTCTTTCTTTCTGCTATTAAATAGTGAAACACCCACATAGGAAATCTTCAACCTGGGCTTACCACCATTTAAGCAGTACGGGTTTCTGGAAGCCCAAATACACGAATCAGACTTCTTCCTCCCTAGTTCACTTATTTATCATTTCTACCAACAATCAACATGGTAGATTCACCTGTAAACATGTGGAAGACACAGATAATGAAGTGAGCACAAGCGTTGTGTCTCAACCAGAAAGAAATTCGACCACGTCCATATTCTCCACTCTCTGACATTACGACGTTAAAGATCTCATTTCACCGTACTAATTATCCGGTACGTGTCACCACGTACCAATTTCCAGAAAGAATGCATTAAGGCAGTAACCCGTGTATATGCAATTCTCATCTATCAAACTTGTTGCGCATCCAACACTAACTGGTCAATTAACCAGAACCAGAGAGTGCTTTCAACAGACATATCGAATGATTGATGTCGGCCAATGGGCTTAAAAGGGCAGGTCTGTCCTCCCGGAGTTCCTGATTTAAGAACCTACAGGTAGCTCACCCCTCAATTACACATAAAGAGATCAAAAGATCACTGGCATTACAATGCAGTATGCCCTAAGGGCCGGATGATGGCCTCAGTAAGTGCTCCAGCGGTCCAAAAGGAAACGTTATGGATTGGTGTGGTTAGAAGCCACACGATAAGGAAGAACGAACTTGAACTAGGCCTTGAAAGATGGGCAGGCAGAGAAAAATCCTGTGCTTGTCCACAGAAGGGGTTGGTGATTTCTGCTGCTGTGATCCATCATGGGTAACACCAGCCCAGGATGGAAATGAAATCATACATTAACTCTTAGAAGTTATGCTAGAATGAGCTTCTGATTACTGTTTTTAATATTAAGGGTCTAGAGGGAGGTGTTCTCCATAAGTTATTAAGACTGGCTTTTGAGAGTTCAAATGAAGAGTCAACACATGACTGAACAAAACCCGAAATAAACAAAGTCACATAAAGGAAAGAGAATGGCTTCCAGGACATCGGGTCCAGTCTCCTCCCTCACTGCACTCATGCATGCATCGAATGAGAGAATAAGCTTTTACCGTGAGAATTCCCGGTCAGCCGGGAAAGATACTAATGGAGGCAGGACCTAGTGACGCTCACTTACCTCCAGGTCTCCAAGAAAGAGGGAACGTCAGCAAAGGATATTTGTGCATTCTGATGTCAAGGAAAGAGCTTCCTGGTGTGGGACACAGATGCAAACTTGCTTCCCCGGGGACTTTGAACATTCCTGGCCTCTTGCAAGACAGCTGCCCCCGGGTGTTCTCAGCGCAATATTAAAGGTCACATCTACCTCGTCCTGATTGCAAACCTACACACAACTTGTGATTATGGTTTATCGTGGAGACAATGGGCTGGTTCCTGTGTAATTTCCCATTGCACTAGTGTATCTTACTAGCACTATGAGGTCAAACCACTGTCGAGAGAAACAGTCCTTCGAGTTGGCCTCAAAGAGAAGACTTAAGACAGTGACTTAATACCACTTAACTTGCGGGGGGTCGGTAAGGTACGCTGGCTGCCGTGTGCCACCCTTACAGGAGTCCTCACGCGGCTGGGCGGTGAAACACTGACAAATTCCTATTCACTGGGTTACACATCAAAAGGCTAAGAGCGTTTCTACTGTTCCTTCCACCATCTCGTGTCATCAATGACCCTACCCCAGGACAATGAGAATATGACGGTTATCAACCACTGTATGGTCCGTTATACGGACCTTTTTCTTTTTCTCTCACCAATTTTATTCAGCATTGTAGGAGAGGTTCCAGCCAGTGCAAAAGACCAAGAAAAAGAAATAAAAGGCATAAATTTTGGGAAAAGAAGCAGACAACAAGATCCTGTATTTATAACACCCTATGGTTCTTAGGATACCAAAAGCACAAACAACAGAACCAAAAAATGGGACAACCAGACTTCTTCAAAATTAACAAGTTTCGTGCGTCGAAGAGTACCATCAAGAAAGGGAAAAAACAACCCACAGAGTGAGTTTTCAAATCATATCTCTGACAAGAGACAAAATGTCCTTACAAGTCAATCATAAAAAGGCAAATAGCACAATTTTAAGATGGGCAAAATACGTGAACGAACATTCCTACAAAGAAGATATCCAAATGACCAAAAGGCACATGAAAAGATGCTCACTGTCATCAGCCACCAAATCAAAACCAAAGTTAGATACACTTTACACACACTAGCACGGCTATAATAAAAAAGACAGGGCACTTGGGGGGCTTGGTCGGTTGAGCCTAAGTCTTGATTTGGCTCAGGTCATGACTCCAGGGTCATGGGATAGAGCCCTCCACTCTCAGTGCGGAGCCTGCTTGAGATTTTCTCTCTCCCTCTCTCTCTGTCTGTCTATCTTTCTCCTCCTCTCTGCCCTTCTCCCCCACTCATGCTCTCACTCCCTCACTCTCTTTTTATGGACTCCATCAGTGTGCTCCCCATCCTCTGGTTTCTGGCTGAGGTACGGGGGGTTCCATACAACGGAACACAACAATGGTTGCACCCTACTCCATGCAGAGAGCTCATACGTTGCTGACACCTTGCAGCAGAACAGACAGGACCAGAAAATAACGCCACCAGCTTCAAGACCCGGGGAAAGCTCACCACATAGAGCTTGCGCCAGATGACAGCCCATTCTCGCAGGGTCGACGTGAGCTCCTGCACCAGTGGGAGCTCACCAGGGATCACGGTCTCGTGCTGCCTAAAGAGAACCAGACAGAGGCTCGTGTTACTCTGGGTCGGTCATCCCTGCTTTTCTTGACAGAGGTCATATTCCCCACAGGTCAAAGACGGGAGTGGGGCTGGTTAGGCTGGAGACAAGACAAAACTCACCCGTTGTGGGGAAATTTGTTTGGAAGACTTTATTACCCCTAGGCATCTGAGGGAAAGAGAAGGACCTTACCGCTGCAGCTCTCAAAAGGAATCATTTCTGCAATGAGATGGACCCATGGCCCAGCCTGGACTGCCCCATTTCGGATCGTTACAGGAGCAATGGTTATCAGCCACTGCTGGCTTCGGTGATTCCGAGGGATGGAAGCCCCAAAGCCAGTATTTTAGCTCGTTCTGCCAAGCAACCGTTTCATTAGGGAGAGAGGGTGAAGTGTTCATGGCACAGGGGTCGTGGGGCTTGTAACCTCAACCAGGACCTGCTGCTAGGGACCGAGGCAGTGCTCTCTTATGAAGTGATGCTCAGGATTCTTATCTGCTGCCTCGCTGCACTGAAAACGCATACAAACCAAACTCCTCACTCGCTCACAGGAGACTTACAACAAAGCGGGCCCGATATCTATTCACATCAATCCTCTGCTATTTTTATGATGAGCAAAAGGAGAAAAGGAGAGTAAGCGCAAGCGAACAAATGGCAAATAGTGGTAGGATTGCCAGACTTAATTAAGACTACAAGATGCCCAGTTAAGTTTGGATTTCAGACAGATTAAAATAATCTATAATCTATAATCTGTATTATATTATATATGTAATATATAAGACATATAATATATAAAACATATAATTATATAATTAAAATTATAATATTTACTATATATAAATTATATAATATATATTATATATAATTATAATAAATATATCACCTATAGTATATATTATGTTTTATATATTATACATTATATTATATGTTATTATATATTGATATTTATTAATATTAATATATATTATATACCATGTTATATTACATAATATATATTATATTATACATCATATATTATATAATGTACGTTGTATATACAATATATATTATATATGATATATATGTATATATAATGTATATATACATATATATCATATATATGATATATACGTTATATTATAATTGTATATACAACATATATAATATACGATATATAATATATATAACATAATATAAAATAATTTTTTTAGTACAAGTATGACTCATGAAATACCTGGGTCATATTTACTGTAAACAAGTATTTGTTGTTATCTGATTTTCACCTGGGCACCCTGCATTTTTACCTGTCAGCCCTAGTTAATGGGATCATGCCTCCCTGCGTGCCCTTTCGCCAGCGTGACAATGGAGGCTTCCCCAGGGATGGCCCACTGGAAGGAAGCTTCTCCGGAAGGGCAGGACGCCTGTTTTCAGCCTTGGTTCTGCTACTGAAAAGTAGCCGTGTGAACTGGGGCATGTCTCCACCTCTCGTCTATAAAACACGGATGCAGAACTTACGACTGAGACTGTCCTTTGATGCCTTGAGCCTGCGTGACTCTGATCCGTTCCACTCTCTATGAGCCCTGGGATGCCAGGCTCTCCTTCCCTCCTTAACTCTCCGGCCCCTGGGCTCACCAACCACACCGTGTCTCTCTCTTCCACTTCAGGCCGAGCGTCTTACTCCTCTTACTGGCCACAGAGGAAGTACTTTCCAGGACACACGGCAGGGTGGATGAAAAACAGGAACATCCAAAACTTGATGGATATTATCTGCAGGCCACGTTCAGACACATTGTTTCATAATTTTACATTAAGCTCAACCAACCTAGGGCCAGATTTATCGCCCCCAATCTGCACTGGAAAAGTCCAAGGTGCAGTGAGGCTACCTGACTTGTCTAAGCTTTAGTGCTGGTTACTGTAGGGATGCAGCCTGCCCATCTCTGTCCCAAGGGTGACAAACTGGGGGCTCTCAGATCTTACCCGCAAAAGAGTGCCAAAGCTTCACGTATGTGCACACATGAGCACGCAAACACTCAGTGAGCAGACAGCACAAAAGGAAGGTAAGGGCCCTTCATTCATTCATTGCCCGTCTTTAGGATTCTAGGGAAGGATGCCAGGGAGGAACAATTGTAACAGAAAGAACCACGTCAGGAAAAGGTTTTTATTCACTTCCCTCTCATATGAGAAGAGAGAAATCCTGCGCAAAAGAAACTCTTTAATGATAATTTGACATCTTCACCAACTTCTAGGAGCCTTCCTGGAATTGGAACTTACCCTCGGTCTTCCACGGTTGCCTCCTTCAAATGGATATACGTTTCAGGGAAAATCCCCTACAGAGAGAAGAACTTTGGTTATGTGGCTATACGAATCTCAGCGTAAAGAGCACAGAGGGCATCAGGAATGAATGAGGAAGAAACAGGATGCCTGGACAGTGGCTAGAGTTTGCGGCCAGGCTTATGGGAGGCCAACCATCCTGACTGACACCTAAACGAAAGCATGGCTGAAAAGACAGAAATTAAGAGCTGGGTTCCCAGAGCCTAGGAGAGATGCTTCCCCAGTGGACAGGCAAACATGTCCGGGTCAGCTCAGGGCCGCAGTAATGTCAAGGACTTTCACAGTGAGATCCTAAAACCCTCCAGATCGTACCATGAAATGCTTCCCTTTAAATGGCTTCACATAATTAGTGACATGGAGGGCTATGTACTTAGTGGCCCATAAAATTACAGTGATTTTCTAAAACAATCTCTGTCAGCACTTTTACTTAAACCAAATGTGCCCCAAATCAATTAGTTCTAATTATCCAGTCTCAAATGGCTCTCCATTCTATATTCCTAAGGGGCGATTCTCCATCGCTATTGTGACACTGCCCATGGGAGAACCAAGGCCCAGACGGACCCCAGAGAAAGACTGGAAACCAATCAGTAGAAACTGAAGAAGCGAAGATCAGATCTAACCACCAGAAAGCAGGTCATGGATCTGAGTTTTCCTAAATGCCAGCGGCTTCTATTGTTTCAACTGGGTGATACACTCATCAAGAAATGGAGAAACTGCTATCTGAAAAAGGCGTTGCTGCTCTTTGTTTTAAGGGCAGTGTGCACGCCAGACCAGTAGAAGTCGGAAAAGAGCTCATTTAATGGGCAACCACTGGCCCAACTGCTCCCAGCCCAGCACCTGCAAAGGCCAGTGCGACCCGGCAGACGTCCTGTGTCGGGAGTGGCTGACCGCAAAGGTGGGAGAGGAATATCCTCCTACCTGGGGGACCGGGTCAAAGACGTGTATGCACCCAGCGAGCCTTAATGCATTCAGTGACCGACCACTGGGGTCAGTGTGGTGTCCGGTTTCGTGTGCTACGTTTGCCTGAATAATACTCTTTCTCCATTTTAGCCCTTTGTCAACAAAACAGGAAACAGCAAGAGAATCTGAGATGGAGCTGTTCCCACAAGTGGTGATGGCAGGACAGATCCTGCCACTGCTTGAGTCAAAGGCAGAATGGCCATCCTTTCCTGCCAGGCAGGAAGAACCCCCCCAAACAAGTACATTACCTTCCCCTCCACAGGGTGTCTAAGTAAGAAAGCACCACGCCAGTCTGTTACTGAGCAGCCCCAGAACACACACAGGAGCAAGGGGACACTGACCTCTTTCATTACAGAGGAAGGACTCAAAGTCATGTTGGGAAACCGATCAAATGGTTAGAAACAAACAAAAACGGGGAGTGGGAAGTTAGCAAGTGATGAATCGCTTAAAGCAATAGTTACGTGGAGCCATATTTGTAGGTTAAAATGCGATGTAACACTGCTAATCCCAAGGAATATCCTCACAGCAGATTTTTCTCATCAAGGAGGGTAACGGACCAGCTACAATTTTTGGGCGTTCGTAATCTGATGACTGGTCTCCTCCCAATACCTGGGAGAAGTCCAAATCAAAGACAGAAGCATGTGAAATAAAAACAGTGACTTATTTTATAACATCTAAGCAGACTACCAGCAGATGACTTATGCTAAATTTACAGACCTGACGGTTTTCCTGTTAACAGAATATTTGTTTCGTTGCATTACCACTCTGTTCTCTGTAGGCATCCTCCCTCCATGAGAGCATATGCCCACCTACGGCCATTTGATTGCTCTGGTAAATCTGAGCCTTGTAGAACTTTTCCTATGCCCATATGATACACAGAAAGGCAGGATGGGGCCCCTATGCGGCTCAGTCAGCTAAGCGTCCGACTCTCGATTTCAGCTCAAGTTATGATCTCACGGTTCATGAGCTTGAGCCGCGCATTGGGCTCCTCGCTGACAGCTCGGAGCCTTCTTGGGATTCCTTCTCTCCCTTTCTTTCCCTCCCCACTTTCTCTCTCTCTCTCTCAAAATAAATAAACTTAAAAAAAAAAAAAGGCAGGATAAACTTGGGGGATAGGTTACTGATTTAAAGCCTATCTCATTTTTGGCTTTCCTTTCTCATTGCAACTTAACTCACTTCAGTAAAAAAAAAATAATAATAATAATGACTTTCTAGATATTGCCCTTATCCACACTTCCACAATCATGCCGGGATCAATAATCAGTTTCTGCAAAGCTCTTGGCTTCTTCAGTTTGTAAAACCACAAGCTCATTTTATCACTGCTCTAAATGGCTAGGTTGGCTGATAAATGACACCCAAAATTTCCATTAAAATAATAGGCCTTTCAAAGAGTTCCTCCCCTAAAGACCGTCAAAGGCAGGAAAACAGCATTAGAAGGGCGTTTCAAATAGGCTGGATCTCTTAATGAAAGGGAGTCAGAAGCTCAACATAATTCATGATGACTATCTGAATTCCCTAGATTCTTCCTGGAGTTCTCCACCAAGAAGATACTTCAACTTAAAAATCAACAAGTAAATGCCAGGTCCTTGTTTGTCCTCCCATTTCATTGAAATGCAACGTTGAATTATCACCGACTTAAAAGAAGCTCTTCCTGAACTCATTCTTCATAAGGCTGAGATTTAAAGTTTAAGGATTTTAAGAAAATGAAGACAAAAAAAAAATTGAAAAACACACCCGGAACTTGTCATTTAGATCCTAGCAAAGCACTCCATTCACTCTTCAAAGACGACAAGGTCACTAGTTAAGACGGATTTTGATCTATTAGGACATCACAGGATGCCTTAGAAACCGCGGTCGTCTATGCACAAAAAGGATCCTCACATTCTGTAACTCTCTGAAAGGGGAGAGTGTGGTCTGGGAGCTTGTTTCAACATGATTCACAATCACCAGTTAAAAATCAAGAATTGTGTTTGTTCTTTAAGTTCATATGACCATATCTGAGAATGGGTTTTGGCTCATTTTTTTAAGTTAGCATTTTTTTTTTAAAGATTGGGGGTTAAGTGGCATAAGTATTCTTGCTCTTTAATAAACTCAGAACTTCAAAACTGTTAACTCCAACCATGTTTTGAAATAACTATCGTTTGGGGCGCCTGGGTGGCTTGGTCGGTTCAGCGTCTGACTTTGGCTCAGGTCATGATCTCACAGTCCGTGAGTTCGAGCCCCGCGTCGGGCTCTGTGCTGACAGCTCAGAGCCTGGAGCCTGTTTCAGATTCTGTGTCTCCCTCTCTCTCTGCTCCTCCCCTGTTCATGCTCTGTCTCTCTCTGTCTCAAAAATAAATAAACGTTAAAAAAAAAATTAAAGAAAAAAAAAGAACGAACTATCGTTTGCTCTAATTGTGAATAAAATAAACACTGATAGGGCTGACCCCATACCACGCGGCAGGAGTGTCTATAAACCGAGTGCAAAGATCCTAAAAGGACGGAAGCTCTTGGATTTAGTCTTATCATGCTTTCATTCACACAAGAACATCCCTGTCGTACATCCCTATTTGAAGGTCTGGAGAACTTAAAGTCAGCAAGAGATTAAATGAAAATAGTTAAGCTGGAAATGAAAACATGTGGCACAAGAATCAAACTATGGGCAGAAAAATTCAGCATCAGGATTTGGGGCGGGATAAAAAGAACCAAAATTGTGGGAGTTGATACTCGTGTTATGAGCAAATACTCCTTTATTTTGGAAGATTATGAAACGGTCAAAGTTAACAAAATGCGTGTGTGTGTGTGTGTGTGTGTGTGTGCGCGCGCGCGTGTGTATGTGAAAATACTGCGTATGACATAAAAGCCAAATATACAAAAAGCCTGACCAAAACAGTGGTCTCTAATGCCCTACGCTTCGTAGAAAGGGGCTTCTCTACGCGCTGAGCTCTCTTGAGAGTTATGTGCCCAGATTACTTGTATCTCATGCTGTGTTTGAAAAATAAGAACTGTGGGTTTTGGGTTGTTGTTGTTGTGTTTTGTTTTGTGTTGTTCACTTCAATGATAAAATCTGAAATGTTTCTCTTCCCCCTTTCCTAATGAGCTATTTTGCATGTGAACTAACTGGGAAATACTATGGCCCTAGCAACTCAGCTCTTTCAAAACAAAGTGCTGACTCCATAGGCTCCAGAGGGTGCTGCGTCAAAGGAAAAGCACTGACCAGACCTAAAATTAACTGAGGGGGGTATTAACATAACTAATAGATTTTCTTTAGCTTGCTGATGAGTAGTTTTGGCACTGGGTACAGGAACCTGCTAGGGTCAGTATTTTTCAAACTCTCTGCCCACGATGAGATACATTCTCATGGCAACCCGGTACTTAACTATACATAAAATATAATTTAAAATACAGAAAATACATAAACGTATGAGCCGCAAACAAAAGTTGCATGAAACAGGATCTGTCACAGTGTTCCATTTTCTTTTCTACTTTTCAGAGTTTTGGTTCTTGGAAAACGATGGTTAATAACCCACTAAGTTGATTTCATGACGTATTACTGGGGTTGGGAGGTTCCCGGTTTCGAAACGACGACGCTGGCTTATCCATCTTGTGATAAAGGATAGAATCAAGCAGAAATGGGGGGACGCTTTAGTTCTGGGATGTAAGCATTGGAGCCCAAGGATTAAGAAGCAGCGCGGGTCCCCCTGAAAGAGACGGCCAACAATAACAACGTCGCTGTATCACCACCCTTTTTAGCTTGAGGGACAGAAAGCAAAATGCCCGACACAGTGTGTGAATTCACCTGTGGCCTCTATCCTTTTTTTTTTTTTTTTTAATTTTTTTTTTTCCAACGTTTATTTATTTTTGGGACAGAGAGAGACAGAGCATGAACGGGGGAGGGGCAGAGAGAGAGGGAGACACAGAATCGAAAGCAGGCTCCAGGCTCTGAGCCATCAGCCCAGAGCCCGACGCGGGGCTCGAACTCACGGACCGCGAGATCGTGACCTGGCTGAAGTCGGACGCTTAACCGACTGCGCCACCCAGGCGCCCCGGCCTCTATCCTTGAGGTGGCAGGTAGGAATACGGCCAATGGGACTTGTGCCATTTTACCTAAACATTGAGGTCAGAGAATGTGTTTTCAGGTCTAAAGAAGAACCATCACAGAGAACACAAACGAGGTCTAGAAACAGCAATGAGCAGAAAATGATTAACACAGAACTAGCAGACAGATTCAAATTAAAAATGGAATGATCAGCCATACCTTTTTCGATTTATTGTGGAGGGTATATCCTCTGTACCAACCTGTCAGGGCATAAGAAAACAGTCTTTTATGTTATCTGAGATAATATAAAGATATCAGCAATATGCATCCTCCTATTCTATCAGAGCATTGGCCTGGAATCCAGGGGGCAATTGGCAGACTATTTAGAAAAAGTGCCGTTTGGGTTTATTACACGGCCAAAATTTAGATCTATAGGAGAGCTTTATTTTCTCCATAGGTAAAGGATTTAGAATTCAAATAGAATCATGACTCATCTCCGCCCCTTTAGAGAAAGGATAGAACAACAACAACAAAACAAGACGGAAGGTAGGTCAACCTCATCATATCTTAATACCTTAGTCATTCATTGTTCTTGCATGAATGAATAAGACTTTCATCAATATGTATAAATTCAAAAGTCATCCTACACTACTAAATAAAGTAAATAATTTAATCATTTATATAGTCTTTCTCTTATCTAAATTCTCAGGTGAAGAACCACTATTCTACAACAATTAAAAAAAAGTTTAATGTTTATTCATTTATGAGACAGAGACAGAGCATGAGTGGGGGAGGGGCAGAGAGAGGGAGACACAGGGAATCCGAAGCAGGCTCCAGGCTCCGAGCCGTCAGCACAGAGCCCGACGCGGGGCTCGAACTCACAGACCGTGAGATCATGACCTGAGCCAAAGTCGGACGCTCAACCGACGGAGCCACCCAGGCACCCCTCTACAACAATTTTAAATGGCAATAGCACATCTCACATACACAAACATTTGCACCTAAAAAAGTTGAAACAAACAAATCGTAAAACAATGTTTTAAACAATTCTTGGCAATGCTATATACACCCCCAACAATAGAAAAAAACAATTGTTTGCTTGATGAGGCTTTGAATAAAGGCTTTCACTTCTTTATACAAATTTCAATAAATACACATACACCAATGGATGCTTCTCTACCCTCTATCTGGTAGAGAGAATACACAATTTAATCTGTCCATCAACAGATAACTTACATTAAATATTTATTGGACACCTACTAGAGGTAATTTACTGTAATGATTTTCCTCATTCCCCACGTCCATCAGGCATCAAGCTGGTCATCTTGCCTAAGTAACCCCGGCTGTAAGTGGAATATATGTGTAAAGCAGCCATATACATACAGTGAGTAGATGCAAACCGTACTTAAAGCTTCAGGCATCTGCCAACAGGGTTCTAGAACCCTCTTGTAATTTGTTCCATGCGAAATCGCCCAGAAAACAGACGCACAATCTGTTCTGGGTGTATTGCAAGAAGAAAGCTGAATTTGAGCACAGGGTTAACAACATTTTCACAAGTTTCTAAGCTGTCAGCATTCAAACCTTTAAAGGATTCGGCTATACTTTTTTTATGGGAAAGAACAGGGTCCTATGTTGTGAAAGCGTTCCAGGTTTGTATCGGGGCCCAAGGTTGGGAAAAAGATATTTGAACAGGAAACCCTGCTCCCAAGTTAGGATGCCAAAGGGCACAAGAGAGCCAGCTGCTAGAACACCAAGCCAGACATCACTGGCTGTTTTTTTCTGCCACAGGACAATGCCTTCGCCTCAGTCAATGCTTCAGCCTCATCCTGGCGTGGGGGAGGGGCAGGCAAGCTGAGAAACAATAGTCTCTTCCAAGCACTTTTCGTCGCCCTGTGTCCTACCAAACCGAGATGGAACCGTTTGGACTTTGCTCCACTGTCAGAGAGGAATTTCTCTGTACTTCTGTAAACAGTATTTTTGTGCAGCCATTCATCACAGAATTATGCTTTCTAAACCCGTCATTTCTGAAAGCCTTTTTTTTTTTTTTT